AAAAAAAAAAAAAAAAATTCGATCAATTTGATCTTCAAACATTGTACAACTTTTACAAATAGATCATCAATATATCAAAATAAAGTACTCATATAATTAAAATCAAAATCCTCAATTAAGATTGAATCAGAGAACGAATAAACGAATGTATAATAATTTCTGATAGCTTTAATTCATTGCATACGTGATATCTCAGATATTCAGGTACAAACAAATATATCCCAAAAATACGTGTAAATGATAAAAATAATAAGTATTACAAAAACAACAATTTTATATTTGTAAAACATAGCAATATGAAACATGAAAAATATGAAAAATTACTGAAACTAATAAATGGTAGTATGAAATGCACTTACTCTCTGTCATCGGTGATCATACAATGATAAGGACAATCATTAAGGCTTTGTTTGATGCGTTGAACCCAAGGATAATTGAAAAATGTTGTCCATGTAAGTATCAATGGTATTGGTTGCAATGATGTACGATCCTGAAATAATTAATATTTTGAAGTCAATAGTAGAAAAGAAAAGTGGAATTAAATTTATAACGCTCATATAATATGCACAAAATGATTAAACTGTATTAATCCAATTAATTAGATTTAATTTTCTTTTTTTTGTTTAAATATGATGAATGAAACAGAATAGTCTTTATTCGAATAACATATATGAAATTGAAATTGAATTTTAAAAAAAAAAAACTCACGAATTTTGTTGCATAAAAAACTCGTTCCAAAACTAATGTTTGATTTAATATTCTCCATCGTAAACAAACATATGCGATGAAAATAATAAATACAATAAAAAGGGCAAAACACAACTTTAACCATTGTAATTTCATTCTTTACTCAATTGATATTATCAATCGATTGATTAATATTTACTGCATGATCAATAAATGCGGCAAATTCATTGAGAAAAAAAAGATATCTGAAGTTTCTTAAAAAGAGAAAATTAAAAGTTAATCGCATTCTAAAAGCAATATTTGATTTAATATCTTTTATTGTAAACATACATGATAATCATCTCAATTTTGTTCTTTCTTAATTTATCAGTCAATTGATTAGCATATACACAATATGATCGGAACACATTCAATAGACTTATTAACGAAAAAAACGATATTTGAAGTTTAGTTTTAAAAAAAATTAATATTAAATAAAATTTTCGGAGTGAAATACGACGCAAGCTAAGACAAAGTATTAATTTCTGATGTTTAAATAAACTTTTATTTTTTGATCATATCAACAAAGACAAATATTAAGTCTATAAAATCTACGATTTCAATGAACATTGCTTTAAAAAAATTTTAAGTTATCAGAAATGATGAAATTTTAATCAGTGCGTTTGATTTAAACAATTATAACAAAATGTTACAATTGTATTTTTCTTTCTCAATCAATAATATCATTTGTTATTTGCTTGTAAATGAATATTCCTGTACTTGTTAGCATCTAGCCAAATGTAGAGTTTTTAAATTTCTAATATACCTGATATACTTTAACTGCTACTATTTTCATATTTCATTAGGATAATTAATATTTATGATCAAGTTTCAAGCGAGAATATTATTGCAGCAATAAAATGATAAAAAGTTAATTTAACAAAAAGCAATTATGCAAAATTTTAAATTTGAATTTCTTTAACGCATTGACAATTTGCATATTCTATGCATGAAAAAAGAAAAAGAAATTCTCATGTCTGCTTTTTTTCTTATAGCAAAATTGTTACAAAATGTAATTTTCAAATCGCATAGCGCATGTATTAAATGATGCGCTTAGTCATCGAAATAATTTAAAGCATTGAAAGATTAAATGAGAAATATATATTTGATTGAAAAAAAAAGAATGATAAAAAACGTGTCGCTGCAATGATGTATTAATTTGTGTGTAAGCAAAATAAATAATGTTAATAACGTCATCAGAGGTCATTTTTTGACCATTTTTACTATTTTCTGGAAGTATGGTGCAATCATATCAGTTCATTTTTTGCTTAATTAAATTGCTTATTTTGAATGCAATTTAACTAAACAAAAACTAAGCACCTATGAAATCTAAACTAATGAATGGAAAAATGTTTTAACTAAATCAAAATTTTATGATAGAAATTCAAATGGATGAGTGAATGTATTCGCTAAAATTATCTTACTTTATCTTAAAAAAAAAAAAAAATCATCTTATATGCTTATGACTAATCGTTATAAATAAAGGTTAGCTGCAAGTGTAAGTATGTAAGTATTTAATGGTTTGTATGCGGCAAAATAGGAATGAACTTTTGATCTCATTTCTGAACGCAGCAAATCATTCAATTCATTAATAAGCGTTTATGACTAACAGTTATAAAATTAGCAGAGAGTGATAATTTCATATTCCAATATTTCAATAGATATGGTATTCATCTTCAATAAAAATTGAATTTTATTAAATTTGTCCATTCTGCGCAAATTGCTTATTTTTCATGATTGAAACTATCAGAAATATTCATTTATTTAGGATTTTGATAACAGCTACAATTACAAAAGTTGATCGTCATGTGTAAATGTTTTAAATGATGGAATCCTTTATTCACTGATTTGACTTATTCTCGATTATTTTCAAATTACGATAAACTCAAAAAAGCAGTAGTGAAAAATGGAATAAAAATTTTAACATTCCATTGCTATGTGCAAATAAGCAATATATTGAACAAGACAACAAGATAATTTTTGTCATGATGATTCCGACAAGCTATTCGTTACACTAAATGATTTTCATTTCAAATTAAGCATAAGCAGTGAATTGATAAAATAAAGTTTATCACTGCAAGAAAAAAGAAAAAAAAATTCGCTGAGAAGAACGATTTGGTAACTTCAGAATCGGTGAACTGTTTCTTTTTTTCGAATTAACTATGGATATGAGATGCTAATAACTATTATGCAAATATTTCAAAGACATATTTGAAATATTTGCATAATATTTCAAGAAAAAAAATTTCGAATGAGGATGAGCAATGGAGGAAAAGAAAGGACAGATGGATTGAAGTTTTAATAGAATGATTGGAAATGCTAGCAGTTAAAATTAATTGAGTTAATTGATTCGATTCAAAATACTTCATTCACGATTTCTACTTTCATAATTCATGCAAGCCACTGATTACACTGACCATTAATAATCAGTTAATAAGTTATGATTTTTCTAGTTGTGACGATAGATTTTTTTGCTTTTGTTATCATTGTTACTAAAAAAGCAAAAAAAAAAAAAAGAACTTTTAAATTATAAACTTACCACTAATTTTTACCTTTAATTCAATCATACACTTTACAATTCATTCAAAAATTTTCACGACAATTAACATTTCAAATTAATTCATGTATCACTTACACGTATGTAAATACGCACACATAAGCGTTACAAGCAGTGATAATCCACAAAAGAATTCAGAAATTTCAACAAAAATATAAGCAAAATAGTTGCAACTTATAAACGATTCCATTAAGCAAAAAGACAAAAAAAAAGATGGAAAAAAAACGAGGGAAAATCATCGTTTTACATTCCATTCATTTTGGTTTTAATAGAAATGTAAAATTTGATGGCCATTTTCGCTCAAACCATTTTGAATTGCATAAATGTTTGTCATCTTTTTAACGAAAAAAACACATAGAAATCATTAGCTATTCAAAAAATATCAAAGGTAATGGAATTTTTTTTTTTTGCTT